TATTACATGTTATTTATTAACATTTTAGCATAATTTTGCAAAAAATAATACTTTGTAACTAAAATGGAAATATAAAAATATTTTTAAAAAATCGAAAATTTCTAAATTTTACATTTTTCAATGGATAGCTTTTAAACTTTATATAATTGAATATTACAAATTATTTAGTCACATTTTAGCATAATTTTTCAAAAATACTTTCTTATAACGAAAATGTAAGTATAAAAATGTTTTGAATATCAAAAAATTGAAAAAATTATCTTGATACCAATTGCTATGAAGCTTAATTCAATAGTATTTGTGGGCTCTCTGATTTAACTTTTAGAGATATCTTGATCAATGTAAAGACAAAAGTTAAACACGGTGTTTATTTTGGTTTAAAACATTTTCCGGCTTTGTCCAAATTTTTCCTGGTTTATTCGACGGGTGTTTTTTAATAATACATTTAACAGGGTGTCTACCAACCAGAAAAGACGTAAAATATCAGGGAATTTAATGTAACCGAGAAAAACTGGATCTACTTGCTATACAATTAGTTCGAATTAGACTGTACTATAACTCAAAAAACTGGAGGAAATTTTAGATTGATTTTAATACATTATATTGATTGAAGTACTACAAATTGAGAAATATTGTTTTCTGCATTTGAATTAGTTAAAAATAACTAATTTGATAATAAAAAGTCGGTCACTGTTTCAAATGGTATTATTTTCCTAATGAAATAGACAATAGTAACTAATTATTATTTTTTCCCTGTCAAATCAAATTCCCGGCTATTTTCCGGTTTTCTAGGTTGGTAGATACACTGTTAAGTGCATTATCAGAAACTACAACCCGTCGAAGACGAGTACGACAGCTAGTATATATATATATATATATATATATATATATATATATATATATATATATATATATATATATATATATTATTGTTTTGTTATTTATTTCATTAATTTGTTTATTTGATTTATTTACATTATTGTTTATGATGGCGAATATAGTGAACCTTTTTGAGCGACCTCTGGGGTATCTCAGGGATCGCGTCTTGGTCCTTTAATGTTCATTTTATATATGAATGATGTAAAACCTATTTTTAGGCATTCCTACTTTTTGCTCTATGCAGATGGCCTTAAATGTTACAAAATAATTAATTCACTTTCAGCAGAAAAAGACACTTTAGATCTGCAAAAGGATCTGAAGAGGTTACAAAAATGGTGGTAAAAATCATTTAAGTATTAATATTAAAAAAAATTATGTTGTTTTATTTTCTAAAGGCAAAGTTAGCTTATATAACTATACTATTGATGGTTAGAACTTGGAGAGAGTAACTAGGATGCGAGATTTAGGTTGGACCTCAAAATCCTTAGGGATTATAATGAGATGTGCTTCGGTATTTCGTGGTCTTGCAACAATTAGAATATTATACTTGACGCTTGTCAGATCAATAATTGAATACGCATGTATAATCTGGTCTCCTTTTTATGTCTTCCACATAATCAGAATTGAACGTGTTCAAAATAAATTCCTTAGATTTGCTGCGAGAATACTTAATATTCCATTTGATTATCGTACGCATGAATATGAAAATTTAAGAACTTTAATGAATATTCCTCTTTTGACATCTAGATTTCATTTCTCTGATATGTCTTTTTTGTACAGACTGATGAAGGGAGCTATCTATTGTCCCTCACTCCACCATGGATAACCATGGTGAATTTATCCGTTCCTAGAATGTTTACTAGACGTTATACGTTATTCTCAGTGGCATTTCATAGAACGAACTATGGTAATAATTCATTAATTGATCGAATCACTAGAGAAGCTAATTTAATTTCTAATGAAATAAACTTCTTTGCTAATAATGTTACAAGGTTCATAACGGCATTACGTAACATAATGTTTAATAGAAACTGAGATTATTTAATGTACACATAATAAAGTTTCAACCTAGATTTAACCCTTTCACGCCCATGGGACATTAGGGTTTTCGTTATTTCCCAAGTTAGCTATTTTCATTTGGGTATCGTCAAAATCGTTTCTTTTTGACCTAAAAACAATTCTACAAACTAGAAAAAATTTATACGATGCCGTTTAACCCTCTCTAAATAACAATACTTTTCCCATTTAATTAACATGGGATTTTCGCACTTTTTAGAAAATAATTTTTATTTCCTTTATAATACTCTTTGACTAACCAACAATGCTTGATTTTGCTTCTATTATGATTCCTTTAGATAGAGAAATTTTCATTTTATCGCGAAAAATTTATTACACAAGTTTTAAAAAGGTTTTCACAATCCAGTTTGAAATTTGAAAAAATATTTTAAATTATAAAAATAGGGGATGATTTTCTGAAAATAAATAAGATCAATTTTCTCAAAAACACCACTTTTTGTTATCAAATTTTTACTACAAATTCATAAAATAATTATGAACATTTCCTATGAATTTCAAGCGGACTAAACCATTCTGGCAATCAGAAGAGTTTTTTTTTGAAAAATTTATTTTAACAAATTTTCAAATTGTTAACGTTCACGTCAACAATGTTATAACGATTCATTTGTTTTTAAAAATGCCAGTTGAAAATTTGCAAAAATAAATAGTTAAAAAAAATTCTCTTGATTGACAGAATGGTTTAGCCCGCTTGAAATTCATGAGAAATGTTCATAATTATTTTAAGAATTTGTAGTAAAAATTTGATAACAAAAAAATGTGGTGTTTTTGAGAAAATTGATCTTATTTATTTTCAGAAAATCATCCTTTATTTTTATCATTTTAAATATTTTTTCAAATTTTAAACTGGATTGTGAAGAGGAGAAGACCATCTACAAGATCCAATAAAGGAAATTAAAATATACTTAAAAGAAAAAAAATGACAAGCAAAACAATTTTTTTTCTATTACATGAAGTTAGTCGGGATTGTGACAAGTCACACCCAGAAAGTCTCCCCCGGACAAGTCCTCCCAGGACAAGTCTCCACAGAGACATAACTCCTCATGGGACAAGTCTTCCCAGGGACATCTCTCCCCAAATGTAAATATTAAAAGTAAATAAGGCCATGGGTGGACAATTCTCCCCGGGACATCTCTCCCCAGTGAAAAATTGTTTATTAAAACAGTGACAAATTAAGGACAAGTCTCTCCGAGACATCACTCCCCAGTAAAAATTATTTATTAAAACAATGGCAAATTCAGGACAAGTCTCCCGGGACATCACTCCCCAGTTAAAAAATGTTTATTAAAACAGTGACAAATTCAGGACATCTCTCCCTAGTAAAAATTATTTATTTAAACGGTGGAACATTCAGGACAAGTCTCCCCAGGACAAATCTCCCCAGTGAAAAATTTTTTATTGAAACAGTGACAAATTCAGGACAAGTCTCCCCAGTAAAAATTATTTATTTAAACGGTGGCACATTCAGGACAAGTCTTCCCAGGACAAATCTCCCCGGGACATCTCTCCCCAGTGAAAAATTGTTTATTAAGACAGTGACAAATTCAGGACAAGTCTCCCCAAGACAAGTCTCCCCGGGACATCTCTCCCCAGTAAAAATAATTTCTTAAAACGGTGGCACACTCAGGACAAGTCTCCCCGGGACATCTTTCCCCAGTAAAAATTATTTATTAAAACGGTGGCACACTCAAGACAACTCTCCCCAGGACAAGTCTCCCGGGACATCTCTCCCCAATAAAAATAATTTATTAAAACGGTGGCAAATTCAGGACAAGTCTCCCCGGGACATCTCTCCGCAGTAAAACTTTTTTGTTAAGGGGGAAGTCTACTGTGACAAAGGAAAAAATAGGACGATTTTTGCGGATTTTTTTCTAACAAAATACGACTTCGACACTAGATTAAATTAAACCGCCCTATATTATATATTCAAGTATTTTTAAAAAAATTTTTAGTCGAAATATTCAAAATTGCTGTCGTGGCACTCCTATAAGCGCAAAAAAACAAAATATGGTTGTTATCTATATAGTATTGACTCTCGTCTGACGAAGGATTTTGATAATAAAAAATTTTGACGCCGAAAAAAAGAATTCTTGAAATTTTTTTAATTTTTGTTTTACATTTGATTTTATTATTGTTTATATCAATTAACCTATTAACGCCTGAAACCTTAGAAATGTTGTGTTTAATTAAAGATTTAATTTCATATACAAAAAATGCTTTATGCAAGTAACTGAAGTGTTTCTTTATGTTTTCGGGGTCACTCTACAAGATTTCGGGCTCAGATTTTAAATTTATCGCAGATAAAATTAAATATGGCAAATTTAGTGCATCAAATTGCAAAAAAATAAAAAAAAAATTTTAAATAATTATTTCTTACTGAAAACATTTTTTTACACGAATACAAGTGTCAGAAAATAGATGAAATTATCATACCAGATAATTTTACTATAATTTCATTGGACGTCGTATCAATGTACATACTAATATACCTTGGACTCTCATTCTTGACTGTGTTAAAAAACGATGGAATGAGATACAACCTTTCACCACTCTAAATTTAGAAGAATTCTTAAAAGCTCTAACATTATGCCTCGAAAACTCATACTGCTAAATTAAAAATAAATTTTTTAAACAAACTTTCGGCTTACCAATGGACAGTGGTTCAGAATTACAATTTAGTGTTCATAATCACCTACAGCCTACAATTTTCGATGAAATTTGACTTTCTTTTTTTCTAAATCTTCAGCGATAAATTCCCCAGATCGTACTGTGTGTGCGTAGGCGCCCCGAGACCTCCACTCGTGTCACAAAAATCATCGTAAAGAAATTGGTTGCCTTTATTCTGGTGTTACTTACGATATTTTTCATTCTTAATGCACAAAAGTGGCTTAAGATGTGTATGGAATACTTTATTTTATTAAATTAATAATTCTAATTATTAATAGAAACGTAGTAAAAATTAATATTAAAATTTAAAAAGAGTGTTTAAATCTATAACAAAAATGAGACTTATTGTAATGCAAAAAGTATATTCTGAAAATAAATACCTCTTCATTGTTTTGCACTTGAATTTACAGTGTTAAGAGATACTAAAGATTATTAAAAAAATACTTGAACTCTTAGACTATTTAACACTCTAACGAAAGAAAAAATTATTTTTTATATTAGCAAATATTAGAAAAACCTCAGGTGAGATGAAAACTAATAATTATTATGATAAAATGAAAGTTAGGAAATTGTAATTTTTACCAAAAAATCAGTTCTATAATTTTATTCAATGATTTTATATTTATTTAATTTTCGTCGAGATTTTCGTAAGGTAATCTATTGTGATTCTACATTTTTAATTTTTTAGATTGTTATCTACTGCGTATACATTTCCACCAACAATCTTCATCAACAGTGCTATCAACTTAATGTTTCCTTTAGTCACTAGCAAAGTTCTTGAAGCAAACCAGATAGCACGATATGTTGCAGGAATATTGCTGCAATATTGTCAGTCCATAATAAAAATATTGCAGCAATATTTCTGAGATATTTAAATATTACTTTGTGGCAATGTTTTTTTGAAATATTGTTGAGTAATATTACTGCAATATTAGTAGGGGAGGGTGGTCCCATACCGACCCCCTTATGTTTCTTAAAGATGGTACCACTAAAAAATTCATCAGTACCATCAGTCGAACACTTTCACAACACCAACAACTGGGCCACAGGTTTTATCAATGCGTTTGATTTCATTTTAGAGATTCAAGCAATATTAGATTTTAGCATTATTTAAATTAATTTTTGACCTATACGGAATTCGAGCTAACAGTGTTTTTTGAATACAAGAAAATTTATACGAAATTAATTTTGATTGTGTATGACCTTAACTTCAACGCACAATATTCAAATTGAATTGATTCCATTGATATAAGTGATTGGCAAAACATTTTGTAAAAATAGTGGGGGTGGTCCGAAACCGACCCCCATATTTTTACATTGTAATTGTTTATTCTCTTCTTCCTTATTGTTCACATAAAATGAGGATAGGTTTTGCATATTTACTTTTATTTTTTAGGAATTTATAAAATATTTTACTAGCAATCACAGCACTTATTACTTAACTTTAATTCTCTTTTGGTTAAATATTTTATTCATTGTCAGTTGTAAAATGTTCTTGACAAGGCGATATGAATTAAGAAAAGTTGTACTTTTCGACGTCTTTGGCAGCAGTTAAGTACGAAAACGAAAAAAAAATTAATAACAAAATTCGTATATATTTTACTAGAAATAGGTCGAAAATTAAAACAGGCAAAACCATTGCTGCTATTATATTGGAAATTTAGACACTGTTTAACAATTTATATTTAATATTATTTCAAAAAAGGTTTTAACCACTTGAGCGGCAGTGCGTCAGAATTGGCGTCAGCGTGCAAGTGACAGAAGCGGCAAAAATGCGTAAAAGGCGTCAAAATTTGACTACTATTTTCTCATTCTGTAAGGAGATTTATAATATCACAACAAAGTATTTTTCTTTTTTAAAGTAAATGAGCAGATCTTTAAACAAAAAAATGCTTTTTTAAATATTTCGATTTCGTGAAGAAAAATTGGACTTTTTGTGGTAGAAATTGAAACGCCACTAATATCAAACTATTAAATATTGTTAGCTTTGATCCTTGAAAACTTATTTAAATATTTTAAAAAACATTTTTTTTGCTTACAGGTCTGTTCTTTCACTTTAAGAAAGAAAAATACTTTGTTGTGATATTATAAATCTCCTTACAGAATGAGAAAATAGTAGTCAAATTTTGACGCCTTTTTCGCATTTTTGCCGCTTCTGTCACTTGCACGCTGACGCCAATTCTGACGCCCTGCCGCTCAAGTGGTTAAGGGGACATTCCAGTTCAAAACAGGCAAAAAGAAGGCTTTTTTAGTATATACACTGAAAAAAAAAAGTATTGAACCAAGAAAATTTTTCTTGGTTGAAGCAAATCGTGGGATTGAATACGGCCAAGACTATTAAAGTATTGATTCAAGAAAACGATTTTCTTGACATAGGATATTTGGGAGAAGAACATATATTCTTGATAAAAGAAAATATGGAATTCGACCAAGAAGTTAGTCTTCTTATACGAAATATGAAATGTATTAAATGAATAAAATATTTTCTTGTTCTAAGAATATATATATATATAGTTAATTGAATTATTTTATTTGATTCATTCAATTTTTTGTAACGTTCGTTCAAGTAATTCAAGATTTAAATGAAGAAAACATTTATTTTGTGAGAAGAACAGATATTCTTGATCCAAGAAAATATGGAATTCGACCAAGAAGTTAAGTAGCATGTAAGAAATGCAGAATATATTAATTCAAAATCATTTATGTATCAAATCAAGAAAGTATGTTCTCTGTCCAAGAAAATATTTTCTTGATTTGAGAAAATTTATAGATTTTAATCAAAAAAATACTTTCTCAATACAAGTAAATTATTTACTTAAATTACCCCCCCCCCTTACCCCCATCCCATCTTTTCTAATACTTAGGTCAAACATTTTTATTATTTAATTAATTAACATTTATATTTTTTATTTAAATAATTAAATAATTGTTATTTTACATATATATTTACATTTAATTATTACTTAACACAAATACAACAAATATACCTTGAAAGAAAATTTTCCACGGTCGGAGGAATTGAACTCGGGTTGCACGCACCAGAAGCCGTCACGCTACCACTATGCCATCCTAGCCTCAATGGACAGTTTTCAAAAACTGATATTTAAGTTGCATATACATTTGAAGAAAAATATTTTCTTGGATCAAGAACACCGGCATTGTGTTAAATAAAAAAAAGTTTCAAAGCAAATAAATAAAATGATTCGATTCAAGAAACATGAATTCTCCACACAATACTTTATTATTTCGCTTAAGAACATGATATTCTAGATTCAATACTTTTTGGTACTTCGGAAAAGTAAAATATTTGGTTAAAATAATTACATATTGAGTTCTGACAAATACTAAATTGTTAATTCAAGAATTCTGTTCAATGCTAATAATTACTTGACACAAGAAAATGAATTTCTTTCTTCAAATAAATATGGGATTAATTGAATGTAATTTTTAATCAACTTGAAACAAATATTTACTTATATTAACCTTCGTATTTTCTTGAATCAGGATTATATGAGCGTTGAATTAAGTAAAATCTTTTTTAAAGGAAACAAAAGAATGATTTAATTCAAGATCTTACACTTAATTGAATTGAATAAATAAAATATTTCATTCCAGAAAATATAATATTCTCGCAAGAAATTAATGATTTTGAAACATGAGAATATAGAAATGCTTCAAGTAAAAGAAATGCTTAGATTAATTAATATTTCTTTGAAACAAAATAATTTTTAATTGAGTTGAAACAATTATTAACTTGTATTAATCTTCCCATTTTCTTGGCTCAAGACTATGGGTGTTGGATGAAATAAATAGTTGCTTTAAAGGAAATAAAAAAATTATTTGACTCAAGATACCAAATGACTCAAGGTAAATTACTTGACGTGAGAACATGATATTCTTGATTCAATACTTTTTCGAGACTTGGCGCATGTAAAACAGTTCGTTTGAAACAGTAAGATATTTACTTATGTCAAACCCATATTTTCTTATTTCAATAACTTTGATCAATGCTAAAAATTACTTGACACAAGAAAATAAATTTCTTCCAATAAGAAAATATGGGTTTGTTTCAAATAAATCAGGTCAAGAAAATGCATTTACTTGATTCAATGAACTTTTTTTTCAGTGTACTAGCTCGACGACTATGGCAATTGCTTATGCATTGCAATATACCTTCGTTATTATAAAAGGTGTTATTATAAACACCTATAAACTTTTATTCGTTATTATAAACTGCTTATTATAAAAAATGTCATTTAAAAATTTTTTTCATTGTAAAATAAGATAACATATGCGGTACATGGCGCTAAGCTAAATGATTATTAATAATTTTTAAATAAAATTCATATTGTCCTAATTTAATATTTTGTTTTATCGATCAATTGTGATAAATATATATAAATCCTTAATATTTTTTTGTGAAAGTCTGCAAATTAAAATTAATCAAAATTTCTACACGTGAAATATGATTTTGATTATTTCTGATTCTAAAAAAATGTTGAAAATGGCTTTTCCAAGTTGATCAATTTTTTTTAACTCTTTATTGAATTTTTTTCACAAACCGTATAGTTTATGCCTTATTTGACTTAAATATTATCATGGTCCCTAACTTTTTTTAGTTTAAATTGAATATAAAGATAAAAAAATTTTTCTGAAAATGAAGGTATAACAGAGTCGTGAGGGAATGATTTTTAATATGATTCCACAATAATTAAAAACTCTGTGAAGCGCCAATTATTCTTTTATTGCAAAACAATAATAATTTAATAATTTTATTGCAAAATTATAATAATTAAATCTATAATGTAACAATTTAATTGTTACGAACAAAACACAGTGATTTATAAAAGTAATATTAAACAATTTAAATGAAAAACTTTGATTTCTATAATCAGTTTAAAATTTTACTTATGTTTTTAAGATTGTTAAGATAAGGATATATTTTCATATTAAAAATCTACGTCGTAGAATGATAATGAAAGAGAATCTAATTAGTGTTGCCGCGATAATGGCGAGAGGCGAGACGAAACGAGAGAACTTTGACTCGAGACGAGACGAGACAGTATTTTTTTAATTATCGCTAAAACGATACAAGACGAGAGAGGTGTCACGAGAGACGAGAATTCTCGACGAGAATTTTTTTTAAATTGCAAAGTTTTATTCTGAAAATATATAGTTACGGTTAACATATAAAATATGATAGATATATGTATACTAAAATCTTTTATTGTTTACGTTGCATTTGTAATGAATGTAAGGAAATTTAAGTGCTGATTTGCTCGCCGGATCAGGGTTCGTGGTAAATAAGAAAAAGTTTTACAAACACTACAAATTTACGATAACAAAACAACGGTTTATTAATATCAAAAACGAATTAATTAAATAACATAAGTGA